CTAATCACAAGTATGAACAAATGATAGAGAAATAAACCAGCAACTTAATGCCTAGTTTCTTTATTTATACCTTCTGTGATCTATCCATAATCCTATCTACTCATCCTACAATAACTAAATGAATGGTTTTTACATAATAAAATATATATCACTAAAAGTCCATTAGACAAATTTATCAATAAATGTTGCACAAACCAAGAAACTAGACAAGAAATGCATATGATGAGTACAACCTTCAGAGAAACAAATGACAAAAAGCTTGCTCCAAAAACAACTCAATAGTTGGGGCAATTTAAACATGGAACACAAATTAAAGAGGATCTTGATTTGACACTAGAATATTATAATTTTTTATGGATAGACAATAGAAGTATGTAGCAAAGCTCCTGTAACTCCCCATGTTACAGGAGTTTTTTTTTCTTTTTTTCTTTTTCAAATAATCTCCTGTAACTCCCCATGTTGTTCTTTGAGAAATAAAAGGTCAAAGAAAAAATGAGCTCTTTAGAAACAGAGCAGCAAAGGAGAGATGATTTTATTAGGATAGCAGGCTGGCCTCGGTCCATGGTTTGCAATATCAGTTAGATTTGGCAAAATCTCTGCATTGTACAATGAGCAGTACAAAATATTCCAAGAAACTTTTTCCCTCATATATTTGGGACAGTACAAAATATTCTAAGAATCTTTTTCCCTCATATATTGTACAAAATATTCCAATATCTTCCGCTGCCAATGGGGTCTAGTACAGCAGCGGATAATATACGGAAGCCCCTTATAGAGAGATTTGAGAGGAGATTAGACAGATGGAAAGCTAAATATCTCTCCTTGGGAGGCAGGATTACAGTCATAAGGAGTATTCTTTCTTGTCTACCGACGTACTATCTCTCACTGCTGAAGGTTCCTAAGGATGTGGCTGTGAAAATTGAGAAGATTCAGATGGATTTTCTTTGGGAAGGGTTGGGTTGGGGGGTCCAAAAAGTTCCACCTGGTCAAATGGGAAAAGGTGTGCAGATAGGGTGGGGGTGGGG